TCCTGGAGCTCCAAACCCTTCCCTGGCCGTGCTCCAGCCTCTCCTTGGAGCGGCCACGGCACAGAGGGACAGCCCCTGATCCCACACAATTCCTGAGGGGATGGATCCACTGGGATGGTGCCCTGGGAGTCAGGGAAGAGGTGCCAGCCCCCCGAAGGCCTCACCACTTCATCAGGAACATCAGCTCCCCGCTGGAATCCGTGGCTCCGATGATTCGCTCCGGCTCGAAGCCTCGGGCGAAGCCTCGCGGTTTCTCCGACTGGAGAAAGGGGAAAAAAGGAGAAAATTCCATTTGTGAACTCCCAGAGTGACATTCCGGGCTCTGGGATGGGCAGGGAGGATCAGGCTGGAATTCCAGGGATGTGGGGATGCTCCCAGGGCTCCAGGAGAGCTGGGAATGTTCAGATGGAGAAGGGAAGGACCCAGGGAGAGCTGGAGAGGGACTGGGATAAGGGATGGAGGGACAGGACACAGGGAACTGGTTAAACTGGGACAGGGCAGGGAACAGACTGGGAACAGACTGGGAAACAAAACTGGGATCAGACTGAGAAACCAGGCTGGGAAACTCGCCAAGCCAAGCTCAGCCATCCCCTCCTTCCTCCTTCCCATTCCTTGAAAAAGCCCCTTGGAATGGCTTTTCCAGGGACCAAAAAAAAAAAAGCTTTTGCAGGGATTTTCCTTGGAGTCCTTTTTCCAGGATCCCTCTCCAGCCTCACCTCTTCCTTCTTTTTCTTTGGTTTGCTCTCCTCCCCTTTGTCCTCCGTGTCCGACTCGGCCTTGCGCTTGCTGCCCTCGGATTTCTCGCTCTCGTGGGCGGTTTTCTGGGACTGCAGGAATTCCGCGATCAGATCCGGGCAATCCAGGTTCTCCTCGGGCTCCCAGGTGTTGTCCTCGCTGCCAGCAAACACAAATCCCTCGTTTTCCCCAGTTTTGCAGCCCAGAAAATCCCGGCTGTGGCATCACCGGGTGCTGGGGATGTGGGATTTGGGATGGTTGGGCTGATCCGGGTGGGAATGCTGGATCCAATTCCCAGGTCCCGACCTCCCCATGGACATTCCCCCTGCTGGATCATGGAAACTCTGGGATGTTTATCCAGCTCTTCATCCCAGAGTTTTTCTCAGCTTCCACAGCTCTTTAGGGAATCAAAAATTCCCAAAAAATCCATGCAGTGCTGGCTGGGAAAACTCTGGATTCAGAGCTTGGAAGAAAGGGAGGAAATTCCCTTCTCAGGAGAGAATTCCTTGGATCCCACACTGGGATTGAGGGGGGAATCCCTCCAGGATTTGCTTCCAGGTGGGAATGGGATATTCCCACCCTGGCACACTGGGATTTTCCAGGATTTTCTCTCCCTGGGATGGGAAATCCTTGGGAACACTGGGATTTTCCCATCCAGGATCTTCTCCCCCTGTCCTGCTGGAGTTCTTTGGGAACACTGCCATTTTCCAGGATTTTCTCTCCCTCTTTGCCTGGGATGGGGGAAATCCTTGGGAACACTGGGATTTTCCAGGATTTTCTCTCCCTCCATGCCCAGGATGGGAAATCCTTGGGAACAGTGGCATTTTCCTTGGGAACACTGGCATTTTCCACGGTTTGTTCTCCCTGCTGTCCCTGGGGTGGGAAATGCTTGGGAACAGCACGATTTTTGTGGGAACAGTGGCATTTCCCTTGGGAACACCGGGATTTCCCTTGGGAGCACAGGATTCTCCCCTTGTCCCTGGCAGGAGAAGCCCCCAGCAGCCCCCCAGCCCCGCTCCCGCGGCGGATCCGGCCGGGAACGGGAATGGGAACGGGAATGACTCACTCGGAGAAGCCCTTCCACTTGAGCAGGTATTCCACCTTCCCCTTGACCACGCGCCGATCCAGCACTTTTTCCACCACGTACTCCTCCTCCTCCTCCTCCAGCACCTCTTCCACCTTTTTCTTGTTCTGCTTTTTTCCCATTGTGCTGGCCAGCTTCTCCGCTTTCCCGGGCTGCTGCAGGGGGGAGAGGGGGAAATCCCGGGTGAGGCACCACGGGGATGGTGGGAATGCTGGGATGCACAACTCGGGATCGTGCTCCCTTCTCAGGACACAATTCCTTGGATCCACGCTGGGATGGAGGGGGGAATCCCCCCAGGATGTGTCTCCAGCTGGGAATGGGATATTCCCACCCTGGCACACTGGGAATTTCCAGGATTTTCTCTCCCTGCCCTGCTGGAGCTCCTTGGGAGCACTGGGATTTTCCCTGGGATGGGAAATCCTCGGGAGAACTGGGATTTCTGTGAACTCCAGGGGTTTACAGGAACTCAGACTCCATCAGTGGTTAATCCCAATTAATCCCAGGTCACATTCCCAGATCCCAACCTCTCCGTGGTCATTCCCTTGCGGAATCACGGATGCTCTGGGATATTTATCCACCTCTTCATCCCACAGCTGTTTAGGGAACCAAAATTCCTGAAATTCCATCCAGGGCTGGCTAGGAAAACTCTGGATTCAGAGCCAGGAAATCCCTGGATTCCAAGCTGGAAAAACTCTGGATCCAGAGATGGGGAAAGCCTGGATTCTGAGCATTTTGGGATCCATTTTTCCCGGATTCCCACAAGGAATTCCCAAGGCCTGCATTCCAAGCCCACTCCCAGGTGTTTTTTCGGCATTTCCCAGCAGCCCCAGCTGAATTCCGTGGATTCCAGGAGCCCGACCCTCCCCTCCCAATTTCTGGAGGAATTTTGGGATTTATCCCTATTCTTTTCCCACATTTCCAGCCTCTTTCACAGCACATCCCAGAGTTACCCCACCAGAATCCCAATTTTTATCCAGGGATCCCTCTGTTTTACAGGAACACACAGAGCTGCTTCCAAACCCATCCCTGGCATCCCCCCCTTCCACATTCCAGGGAGAACTCCCTTTTTCTCACCCCCAAAATCCCCTTTTCTCCCACCCAAAACTCCCCCACGGGATAACCCCGGCTCCAAATCCGCTTTTTCCCGGGAAAAGCTTTCCCAGCTCCTTCTCCAGACACACAAATCCCGCTGGGATCCCCGGAAAAAAGCTTCCCCAGCTCCCCAAACTCCAGCAGAATTGCCCCCAAACACCTCCTCCTCCCTGCCCAGCGCATTCCCGAGCCCAGCTCCGCCCCAGTTCCCGAATTGCCCCTCCAAGCCCGGATTCCCGGGATTTTTCCTGCTTCCCGCCAAAAGCTGTCGCTTGTCCCTCCCCATCCCGCTCCCGGCCTGATTCCCGCTTTTCCACCAGACCCCTTCCCCTCACCCAGGGAAAAATCACACTTTTCCCCTCACAAATCACACTTTTCCCTCACAAATCCCGATTTTCCCCTCAAAAATCCCACCTTTCCCCTCACAAATCACAGTTTTCCCCTCACAAATCCCACATTTTCCCTCATAAATGCCACTTTTCCCTCACAAATCCCGATTTTCCCCTCAAAAATCCCACCTTTCCCCTCACAAATCACAGTTTTCCCCTCACAAATCCCACCTTTCCCCTCACAAATCCCATCTTTTCCCTCACAAATGCCACTTTTCCCTCACAAATCCAACTTTTGCCCCTCATAAATGCCACTTTTCCCTCACAAACCCCATTTTTCCCCTCACAAACCCCATTTTTTCCCTCACAAATCAGTCTTTTCCTTCACGAGTCCCACTTTTTTCCCCTCACAAATGCCACTTTTCCCTCACAAATTCCAGGTTTTCCCCTCACAAATTCCCCCTTTTCCTCCACAAGTCCCACTTTTTTCCCCCCTCACAAATCTCAGTTTTTTCCCTCAGAAATGACATTTTCCCCCTCACAAATCCCACTCTTTCCCCCTCATAATCCCCTTTTCCCCTCACAAATCCGTTTTTCCCCCTCACAAATCCCCCTTTTCCCTCAGAAATCTCCGTTTCCCCCTCACAAATCCCAGTTTTTCCCCTCACAAATCCAAACCCGTCACTGACCCCCATCACCAAACCCCATCCCCACACCGATCCCCAAATCCCCCCTAACGCTTCTCCCGCCCCTTTTCTGACCATCCCTGCACCCCAAAATCCCTCTCTGCCCTGACCCAGCCCCAAATCCCCTCTCTTTCACCCCGCGCACCGCGCCTGCGCCGCGCCCGCGCAGGGCGCGCCGGGAGGTGTAGTCCGCGCCGCCGCCGAGCCGCCGTGCGCTCCGCTGTGGGGCGCGGGGAGTGACGGGAGGTGTAGTCCGCGGAGAGCGGCGGCGCTGCGTGCGCGCGAGGTGTGATGGGAGGTGTAGTCTGCCGCGCTCGCGGGGCCTGATGGGAGTTGTAGTCCGGGATGGTCAGGCCTCTCCGTTCTGCTCCTTGTTAATTAAATAATTAGAGTCATTAACGGTGGGAAAGTCTTCGAGTTCAAGCCGTGACCCACAAGCGCCTCGTCCCTCAGGTCAGAGCCTCGAGTGGCACCTCCAGCGGGCTGTGCCAGCACCCAGGGAAGGGTCCCGTTTATGGCCTCCTAAAAAATCTTATTTAGGGAATCCTGGAATCGCTGGGGCTGGAAAAGCCCTCTCGGATCGCCGGTGGACTCCAGCAGCGCCCGGGGCAGCTGTGCCAGGGCTGTATCCCCGTTTCCAGGGGGAGATTCCCGCTGGGGCCCAGCCTGAGGCCATTCCCGTCCTGTCCCTGTCCCCTGGAAGCAGAGCCGGACCCCCACGGCCGCCCCCTCTCAGAAGGTCCCTCCCGATCCCTTTTTCCTCCAGGACAAACATTCCCAGCTCCCTCAGGCGCTCCAGCCCCTCCCTGTCCCAGGCCAGGGCTGCCGCCCGGGACCACAGCGCCGCCCGGACTACAACTCCCAGCATGCCCCGCACCGGAAGTTCCGGCCCCGCCCCCGCTATAAACCCGCGCGCCGCCGCCGCCGCTTAAAGGGGCCGCGGGCTGTGCGAGGTGAGGGGCCCTGAGGGAGGGCGCAGATCGGGGGGGTCCCGGCTCCCCCCGGGGCTTTGGGGACACCGGGACCCCGCGGGGGGAGGCGGAGGGGCCGGGCTGGGCCTCCCCGCGGCCCGGGGCCTGTCCCGGCGCGGGGCTCGCCCTCAGCGCGGAGCGCGGCCCGGGCTCGGCCCGGTCCTGGCCCGGGAATCTTTTAATTCCCTGCAAAGGCGAACCAGCCCCGGGAGCTCCCCCCGCGGCGCTTGCCGGGCGTGGGAAAGGAATAACTGGGACTCGCTCCCGTTTTTCCTGCTTTTCCCGGGGTTTTGGGACCCGCTGTGCTGCGGGACATCCCGGGAGGGGGAGTGGGGGTGAGGGAGCCTTTCCTGCCCTGGAAAGATCCTGAAAAAAATTCCTGGGAAAAAACCCATTTCCAGTGCTTAGGTGTGTCCAAGGAAAATAGGGAATAAACGGGATTTGTGACGGTGCTCAGGAATTCACCCACCACGGGAAAATCGGGAATAACTGGGATTCGTTCTGGTTTTTCCGGCTCTGGAGGGTTTTCCACGGGTGGGAATGAGGATTCCTGCTGTTCCAGAGGGTTGGGAAAGGTTTTCAGGGATGGATCAGGATAAAAGATAAGGAGCCTGAGATAACAATGAGCACTTTCCCTGGCAGGAGTTTCCCTGGAAATGAGGAATTTCCCGGGAATTCTCTCCTTGAACCCCAATCCCGGGCAGGTGAGAAGCAGCAGAACCTTGGAAAATCCCGGATTTGGGGAAAATAACCCCAAACTGGGAATCCCAGAGCCCCTTGAACTGGGGCTTTCCCCACATTCCCGGGATTCCCAGCATTCCCAAAAGCTGCGGGCTCCCGGAGCTCTGGGGGACGCAGAATCCGCGGAAAACCCGCGGAAAGGATTTCTCTAAAAGCCTTTTTCCCTCCCCAGATGTTTCCCGCCGGGCTCGGGCTCTAGGATGTTGGAGAGCCGAGAGGAAGTGAGGAGCACTCCTGGCTCGTTCCCGCATTCCGGGAATCCCAACTCCATGGATAACTCCTGGGGGAGCTGGGAGTGGGAATGGCTGGGACAGCAGGGATGGGAATGGGAACAGCTGGAAAAGTGGGAGTGGGAATGGCTGGAGGTGTCTGTGCCATTCCTGGGAAGTTGGAAAAGCAGGAGCAGGGTGGAGCCGTGTTCCCAGAGCCCCAGATCCCATTCCAGGGAAGCAGGAGCGGGGTGGATCCCTGATCCCAGTCCAGGGAGGCAGGAATGGGGTGGATCCCTGATCCTGATCCCAATCCCAGGGAGGCAGGGCAGGTGGATCCCTGATCCCAATCCCGATCCCAGGGAGGCAGGTCAGGTGGATCCCTGATCCTGATCCCGATCCAGGGAATCAGGGCAGGTGGATCCCTGATCCCCACCCCGGGTTCCGCAGGAGCTGACCACGGTGCGGGTGCAGGATCCGCGCGTGCAGAACGAGGGCTCCTGGAATTCCTACGTGGATTACAAGATCTTCCTGCACGTGAGCCGGGAGCGGGACACGGGGGGAGAGCTGGGATCGGGGTGGGATCGGGGTGGGATCGGGGTGGGATCGGGGTGGGCCCCGGGAGAGGCTCTGGAGCAGGGATATCCCAGCCCACGGAGGGGAATCCTCGGGATCTCGTCCTGGGCTGGCTCCCGGTTCCAGCATCGAGGGGATCCCGCAGGGACTGAGATCCTGATCCTCAGTCCCGTGGAGCATTCCCATCCTGGATCCTCTGTCCAGGCCAGATCCAGCCCCTTGATCCCACGGATAATTCCCATGGAGAATTCCCATCCTGGATCTCCCAGTGACTGAGATCCAGCCCCTTGATCCCATGGATAATTCCCAGGAATAATTCCCATCGTGGATCTTCAGATCCAGCCCTCAATTGCATGGATCATTCCTAGAGATCAGTCCCGGGGATCATTCCCATCCTGGATCCTTCAGCCCTCAATTCCCAGGGTTCCCTCCCAGGGATCATTCCCGGGGATCCCTCCCAGGGATCATTCCCGGGGATCATTCCCGGGACCATTCCCGGGGATCATTCCCGGGGATCATTCCCGAGATCATTCCCAGGGATCATTCCCAGGGTTCCCTCCCAGGATCATTCCCAGGGATCCCTCCCAGGATCATTCCCGGGACCATTCCCGGGGATCATTCCTGAGATCATTCCCAGGGATCATTCCCAGGGATCCCTCCCAGGATCATTCCCGGGATCATCCCGGGACCATTCCCAGGGATCATTCCCGGGGATCATTCCTGGGGATCATTCCCAGGGATCATTCCCGGGGATCATTCCCGGGATCATTCCCGGGGATCATTCCCGGGATCATTCCCGGGGATCGTTCCCGGGGCCATTCCCGGATCCCGCTGATTTTCCCAGACCAACAGCAAGGCCTTCACCGCCAAGACCTCGTGCGTGCGGCGCCGCTACCGCGAGTTCGTGTGGCTGCGGCGGCAGCTGCAGAGGAACGCCGGGCTGGTGTAAGAGCTCGGGGCTCCCCAGCGGCCGGGCCTGGGGTCCCGCGGGGTCTGGGGTCCCCCCGGGTCTGGGGTCCCACCGGGGTCTGGGGTCCCGCGGGGTCTGGGGTCCCCCCGGGTCTGGGGTCCCGCGGGGTCTGGGGTCCCGCCGGGGCCCGCCCCAAAGCTGCCCCCACTGTTGCAGGCCGGTGCCGGAGCTGCCGGGAAAATCCGCGTTCTTCGTGGGAAGCACGGATGAGTTCATCGAGAGGCGCCGCCAGGGGCTGCAGCTCTTCCTGGAGAGGTGCAGCGGGGCTGGGGGCTTTGGGGGGCTTGGGGGTTTGGGGTTTGGGTTTGGGAAGGGCTGAGGGGAGGGTGCACCGCCCAGGGGTGGCCAGGAGGTGGCAGCAGGCAGGGCCGAGTGGCCCTGGTGACCGTCCCTGCTGTCCCTCGTGTCCCCCCGGTGTCCCTGCTGTCCTTCCTGTCCGTGTGCCCGGGGTGGGAGGGGACAAGGGGCCAGCAGGGGTGGCCTGTCCCTGCGGGTGGCAGTGCCAGCAGGGGTGGCGGTGCCAGCAGGGGTGGCCTGTCCCTGCAGGGTGGCAGTGCCAGCAGGGGTGGCAGTGCCAGCAGGGTGGCCTGTCCCTGCGGGTGGCAGTGCCAGCAGAGGTGGCCTGTCCCTGCAGGGTGGCCTGTCCCTGCGGGTGGCAGTGCCCAGGGGTGGCCTGTCCCTGCGGGTGGCAGTGCCAGCAGAGGTGGCCTGTCCCTGCGGGTGGCAGTGCCAGCAGAGGTGGCCTGTCCCTGCAGGGTGGCCTGTCCCTGCGGGTGGCAGTGCCAGCAGGGTGGCCTGTCCCTGCGGGGTGGCAGTGCCAGCAGGGTGGCAGTGCCAGCAGGGTGGCCTGTCCCTGCAGGGTGGCAGTGCCAGCAGGGGTGGCAGTGCCAGCAGAGGTGACCTGTCCCTGCGGGTGGCAGTGCCAGCAGGGTGGCCTGTCCCTGCGGGGTGGCAGTGCCAGCAGGGGTGGCGGTGCCAGCAGGGGTGGCCTGTCCCTGCGGGTGGCAGTGCCAGGAGGGGTGGCAGTGCCAGCAGGGGTGGCGGTGCCAGCAGGCTGACGTGCGCGTGTCCCTGTCCCCAGGGTGGTGCAGAGCGCCGTGCTGCTGTCCGACAGCCGCCTGCACCTGTTCCTGCAGAGCCAGCTGCCCGTGCCCGCCATCGAGGCGTGCGTGCAGGGCCGGGGCCCGCACTCGGTCACCGAGGCCATCCTGCACTACGCCATGGCCTGGGGACAGCGCGGGGACGGCGCGGGGCTGGCCTGGGGACAGCGCGGGCTGACGTGCGCGTGTCCCTGTCCCCAGGGTGGTGCAGAGCGCCGTGCTGCTGTCCGACAGCCGCCTGCACCTGTTCCTGCAGAGCCAGCTGCCCGTGCCCGCCATCGAGGCGTGCGTGCAGGGCCGGGGCCCGCACTCGGTCACCGAGGCCATCCTGCACTACGCCATGGCCTGGGGACAGCGCGGGGACAGCGCGGGGCTGGCCTGGGGACAGCGGGGGGACGGCGCGGCGCTGCCCGCAGCCAGGTAGGGCAGGGGCCAGGGGAGGGACCTGCTCCTGCTGGGAGCCTGGGAAATGGACTCGGGACAGGGGGAGCAGCCCGGGACAGCCCCGGGACCCCGGTGTGGGTCCTGGGACAGCCCCGGGAGCTCCCTGTGCATCCCAGGGCACTCCCAGGGGACTCCCAGCTCCTCCCTGTGCATCCCAGGGCCCTCCCAGGGCACTCCCAGGGGACTCCCAGCTCCTCCCTGTGCATCCCAGGGCCCTCCCAGGGCACTCCCAGGGGACTCCCAGCTCCTCCCTGTGCATCCCAGGGCCCTCCCAGGGCACTCCCAGGGGACTCCCAGCTCCTCCCTGTGCATCCCAGGGCCCTCCCAGGGCACTCCCAGGGGACTCCCAGCTCCTCCCTGTGCATCCCGGGGCAGAGGAGCCCAGGCAGGGCCTGGAGTGTCCCTGGGATGGGACCATCCCCCTTTTCCAGCTGGGATGGAGCTGCCCGGGCCGGGCTGTGCCCAGGAAATCCCGACATTCCCTGGATAATTCCCTTTTCCTGCTCCATTTCCCAGCTGTGCCAGCCTGGGGAGCGCCCAGGGCTGCCTGGAGAGCTTCCCCTACTGGGGTGACTTTGGCATGGACGAGGCGCGGCCAGAGAGCCCGGAGCGCCCGGCCGGACACGGAGTGACCCCTCTGGAGAGCCCGGAGTGCCCAGCTGGACACGGAGTGACCCCCAAGGAGAGCCCGGAATTCCCAGCTGGACACGGAGTGACCCCCCAGGAGAGCCCGGAATTCCCAGCTGGACACGGAGTGATCCCTCTGGAGAGCCCGGAGTGCCCAGCTGGACACGGAGTGACCCCTCTGGAGAGCCCGGAATTCCCAGCTGGACACCCAGTGACCCCTCTGGAGAGCCCGGAGTGCCCAGCTGGACACGGAGTGACCCCTCTGGAGAGCCCGGACACCCAGTGACCCCTCTGGAGATCCTGGAATTCCCAGCTGGACACGGAGTGACCCCTCTGGAGAGCCCGGAGTGCCCGGCTGGACACGGAGTGACCCCTCTGGACACCCCCAGGCCCCGCCGCCCTCGCTGGGAGAGGGATCAGCGTGGAGCCACTGGGATGGCTGCACTGGGAGCACTGGGAGCACTGGGAATGCGGCCCAGCCGTGGCTGAGCTCCCTCCCAGCACATTCCCGATATTCCCTGATATTCCCAGCGGTGTTTTCCTCACTCTGCTCCTGCTCCACTCCCTCTGGAATTCCCAAACTGGGCTCAAATCCCTCTGGAATTCCCAAACTGGGACAGTCGGAGCCGAGCTTCCCGCGGGGACAAGGGAGGGATGGGGCTGGAATTTGTGTCCCCTTCCCCCCGGGGCTGTTCCCGGGGAATTTTTGGGAAGCAGGAGCAGCTCGGGGGTTTTGGTGTCTTCCCCTCCCTCAGCACTTGGTGTGGGCAGGAAATAAAAATGGTTAAAAATTAAAATAAATGAATAAAATTCACACGGAAGTGCAGGAGTTTTTCCGGGTTCTGCCGGGCTCGGGGGTGGGAGAAGCGCCGGGAATTTCGGGATTTGGGGAATTTGGGAATTGGCTCCAGGGAAGGCCCGGGAATGTTGGGAATCCCTCGGAATGGCAGGAGGAGTGCAGGGCCCCGAGCGAGGCTGTGATTGGCGGATCCCCTCATGAATATTCATACTCATTAATATTCATGAGCGCGTCGCTGCCGTGGCACGGATGGGCCCGGGATCCGGTCGGAATCCAGGGATCCACCCGGATTCTCTGGATCTGTTCTGAACCCAAGGATCTGATTGGAACCCCGGGATCTGATCAAACCCAGGGATCTGACCCGAATCCAGGGATCTGATCAAATCCAGGGATCTGACCCGAATCCAGGGATCTGATCCCAACCCAGGGATCTGAACAAACCCAGGGATCTGATCCCAACCCAGGGATCTGATCCCAACCCAGGGATCCGACCTGAATCCAGGGATCTGCTCCATGCCCCAGGATCCTCTCCAGAGGGATTGGAGCTGAATTCCAGAGGGATCGGAGCCCAGTTTGGGAATTCCAGAGGGACTGGGGCCCTGCCACCATCCAGCGGCCCCGCAGCCAAGTGCGGGAGGGGAGGGAGACAGGAAAAGCAGGAAAAAAACCAGGAAAAGCAGGAAAAAACGGGAAAAGCAGGAAAAACCAGGAAAAGCAGGAGGAGGATGCACTGGATTCACCCTCACAGCAAAGGAGCCATTCCCGATCATTCCCAGAGCGGCCAAACTTGGAGAGGAAAAAGGGATTTATTGAGGGAAAACAGCTGGATTTGGGATAGGGGAACAGCTGGATTTGGGATAGGGGAACACCTGGATTTGGGATTGGGGAACAGCTGGATTTGGGATTGGGGAACAGCTGGATTTGGGATTGGGGAACAGCTGGATTTGGGATCTCCAGGGCATTTGGGATTGAGCCAGGAGAAGCAGGATAACGAGAGCAGGAGATCTCCAGGGGATGTTTGGGAAAAGCAGGGTGCGTGCCTCAGTTTCCCCACGGAATGGCTCCAGGGGGGATTTTTGGGATAAATCCACTCGGGGCCGGCGCTGGGTCCTCCGCACGCGGCTCTGCTGTGGGAATCCCATGGGATCTGTGGGATCTGTGGGATTTGGGATCCAGGGAATGCCGTGGGCTGGCGCTGTCCCTGCGCTGCCGTTCCCGGTCCCGCCTGCTCCAGGGAAAATGGGGGGTGGAGACGAGGACACCCCAGACACCCAGGGATGGATCCGGGACCCCAAATCCCAAATCCGAAACCCCGCAGCCCAAACCCCGCATCCCAGAATCCAAACCCCCAATCCCACGCCCCAAACCTGACCCCAAACCCTGCACCCAAAACTCCAAACCCAAAACCCAAACCCCACACCCCAAACCTGACCCCAAACCCCCAACCCCAAATCCCAAACCCCAAACTGCAAACTCTGCACCCCAAGCCTGACCCCAGACCCCGAATCCCAAGCCCCGACCCCTCACCTGTCCCTGTCCCGTCCCTGTCCCGTCACTGCTCCAGCTCGAAGGCGGGCGCCAGGAATTCCCTCGGCACGATCCCGATTTCCCGGCCGAGCTCCCCGACCCACCAGCCGTACCCGGGGTACTCCTGTGGCACCGGGACTGGGGTCAGAACCTTCCTTCAGAGCTACGACCCCAAATCCCACAGAAATCCCCCAAATCCCGCAAAAAATACCCCAAATCCTGCAAAAAACACCCCAAATAGTGAAAAAAACCTCAAAATCCCGCAGAAATACCCCAAATCCCACAGAAATCCCCCAAATCCCACAGAAATACCCCAAATCCCACAGAAATACCCCAAATCCTGCAAAAAATACCCCAAATCCTGGAAAAAAACTCCAAATCCCACAGAAATACCCCAAATCCTGCAAAAAACACCCCAAATAGTGAAAAAAACCTCAAAATCCCACAGAAATCCCCCAAATCCCACAGAAATACCCCAAATCCCACAGAAATACCCCAAATCCCACAGAAATACCCCAAATCCCACAAAAGTACGCCTGAGGTTTGTGCCATACCCCAAATCCCACAGAAATACCCCAAATCCCACAGAAATACCCCAAATCCCACAGAAATACCCCAAATCCCACAAAAGTACCCCAAATCCCCTGGGTCACAGTTTGGGGTTTGTGCCAGGGGGGGAAAAAACCCAAATTTATTCCTAAAATCCGAATTTATCCCTCAAACCCCATAGGCTGAGCTGCGTCTCGGCCACTCCACAACGCCAATTTTAAGACAATCCCAATTTTAAAACAATCTCAATTTTAAACCAGTTTAACCAATTTAAAATAAATTTTAACCAGTTTTCAACCAATTCCTTCTCTGCCGGATTTCGGGATAAACCTCAGGCTAAATCCCGGGATTTTCTGGCATCCGAGGAGATGCAAAAACCCCAAATTTATCCCTAAAACCCGAATTTATCCCTAAAACCCGAATTTACCCCTAAAATCTGAATTTACCCCATGAACCCCGCAGGCTGGGCCGTTCCAATAATTTTAACCAGTTTTCAACCAATTCCTTCTCTGCCGGATTTCGGGATAAACCTCAGGCTAAATCCCGGGATTTTCTGGCATCCGAGGAGATGCAAAAACCCCAAATTTATCCCTAAAATCCGAATTTATCCCTAAAATCTGAATTTACCCCTAGAACGCCGCAGGCTGGGCCGTTCCGCAATCCCAGCCCCGATTTTAAAACCATCCCGCTCCTGCTCTGCCGATCCCGGGTCAGGCCGGGCCCAAATCCCGCATTTCCCGGCCCCCGAGGACGCAGCGAGCCCCAGACCCCCCAGCCCAGCTGCGATGTTCCCCCCGCGCGGCGCCGCAAGAATTAAAAGCGCATTAAAAACTCGCGGCAATCGCGCTCGTCCTCGGCTCGCGCTGCCAAATTGCCCCGCGCTGCCGCGTGCAGATGTTCGTTAATTATGCTAATTTTTATTAAATCATTAGCGCCGAGCCCTGGCACGGCGGAGCTGCCTGAACTCTGCTCCGCTCCTTCCCAGCCCGCCGGAACTGCGGGGCGTGGGGAGCGGGAGGAGGAGGATGGGGTTTTGTTGGAATTTGGTTAATTAGGGCTTAATGAGGGCTCTGCTGCGCTGGGCGGGGAGGGGATTTTGGGGGATTTTATGGGAATTTTGGGGGATTTTATGGGAAGGGTTGGAAAGGAGAGGATGGGCGGGAAAAGGGATGCCTGGAGTGGTGTGGGGGGTACTGGGAGCACTGGGAGCAGCTGGGAAGCGCAGCAGCGTCTTTCCCATTCCCAGGAATCAGCAGGAATTGGGAAATTGGGAATCTGACTCCCTTTCAAAGCTGGGAATGGATTTGGGGTCACCCCAAGTCTGTCCTCCCCATCCCAGGAATCCCCAGACTGGGAATCCCATCCCACCAGGATCCATCCCATCCCAGCAGGATCCGCGTGTGCCATCCCACCAGGATCCATCCCATCCCGCCAGGATCCATCCCATCCCACCAGGATCCATCCCACCAGGATCCATCCCACCAGGATCCATCCCATCCCACCAGGATCCATCCCACCAGGATCCATCCCATCCCGCCAGGATCCATCCCATCCCACCAGGATCCATCCCACCAGGATCCATCCCACCAGGATCCATCCCATCCCACCAGGATCCATCCCATCCCACCAGGACCTGTCCTGTCCCCTTGGGGTCTCCATGTCCCATCCCATTGGGGTCTCTGCATCCCATCCCACCAGGATCCACGTGTCCCACCCCATCCCATCAGAATCCACACATCCCAAAGATCCAGGACTTATCCAATTAACCATTCCCCACAAAAACACCCAACCACAGCCCTGCCGGCACCCCACCCTGCCCGGGGGACCCCGGGGTGGCACCGGGGTGACACCGGGGTGGCACCGGGGTGACTCCAGCTCCCAACCCCATCCCCGGCTCCCCGGCCAAGGCCTCGGGAGCGCGGGGCTGATCTTTATTCCACGGCTGAGCGCGGCGCCGAGCCCGAGGCGGCGAGCGCGGCTGGGGCACGGTGCGGGGGAGATGTTTCATCTGCCGGGCCCATCTGTGCGGCGCGCTGCTGCCGCTCGCCCCGAGAGAGGCGCCGCCGCAGCTCCGCATCGCCTTTAATATGCTCCTAAATCACCTCCCCGGCGCGCTTCAAGGGCCATTGCCGCCACCGCGCCGGTTCATCTGGAGTGCACGGCGGAACGGGGGGCACGGCGAGGGCAGGGGGAGGGCGCGGGGGGGCTTCGGCAGGGATTCCCAGGGATTCGGGGTCCCGAGCTCCTGGGATCGCCCTGGGGGGAGGCGCGGAAAAAAGAAATCGAAATAAAAATCGGGAGGAAGTTGGTGGGAGGGTTTGGGGGGGCAGGAAATCCTGAGGCTCCAGGGACTGGAGGTTCAGGGGTGCAGGGATTGGGGGATGCTCAGGATCCTGGAATTTTTGGGGTCCAGGAGGATCTGGGGGTGCAGGAATGTTGAATTTGGAGGTTCAGGGGTGCAGGGATTGGGGGATGCTCAGGATCCTGGAATTTTTGGGGTCGGGAAGGATCTGGGGGTGCAGGGAGGGTTTGGGGATTCAGGGATATCGGGATTGTGGGGAATGTTCAGGATCCTGGAATTTTTGGGGTTCAGGAGGATCCAGGGGTGTGGGGAGGGCAGCAGGAGGGCACGGGGTGGGGTTTGGGAGGAATTCCCGGGGATTTGGGGTCCTGAGTTCCTGGGATTGGCAGGGCAGGGGGGGAAGAAAGGAGAGGAGGGCAAGAATAAAATGAAAATAAAGAGGGAAGTTCCTGGGAGGGTTTGGGGGTGCAGGAATGTTGGGTTTGGAGGTTCAGGGGTGCAGGAATTAGGGGGGATGCTCGGGATCCTGAAAGGTTTGGGGCTCAGGAGGATCTGGGGGTGCAGGGAGGGTTCGGGGTGCAGGGATGAGCAGGGACTGGGGGGATGTGCCGGATCCGTGGGATTTGGAGGTTCAGGG